AAGCAGTCTCATTAGATACCTTTTTATTGATGTGCATTTAAAATGTTTTCTATTCTAATTTGTATTTTTTAACATCACAATTAGATAGACTGTGATCTCTTGTGCTTTTGTTTGAACCCACTTGGCCACCCTTTAAGTCACCGTGAATCCCCGTTTCGGGAGAAAGCAAGTACCCAATTAAACACATATCAAATAAACACCAACGTTTGAAAGACACAAAGAAAAAATAGGCACATAATGATTCGATTATTTCAAAATATCCCGTAAAATGCAAATCCACAACAAAAAAGGCAGGAACAAAAAACAGTGATCCCGGTTTCGGATATTGTTTCGATTGAATATTTTAGAGTGCATCAACTGCATAATTAGTGAAGTTGACCGAGGCCCCGGTGGAGCAATGGGTAAAACCCTTATGCCGGCAGGACTGCTGACTAACAGGTCAGCGGTTTGAATTTGGGGAGAGTGTGAAAGAGCTCCCTCTGTCAGCTCCAGCTCCCCATGCAGGGATATGAGAGAAGCCTCCCACAAGGATTTTTTTTGTCATGTCAGGAGCGACTTGAGAAATTGCAAGTTGCTTCTGATGTGAGAGAATTGGCTGTCTGCAAGGATGTAGCCCAGGGGACACCCAGATTATTTGATGTTTTTATCATCCGCGTGGGAGGCTTCTCTCATGTCCCCGCATGACGAGCTGGAGCTGATAGAGGGAGCTCATCCATCTCTCCCCGGATTTGAACCTGCGACCTGTTGGTCTATAGTCCTGCCGGCGCAGGGGTTTAACCCCATGCGCCACTGGGGGCTCCCACAAGGATGGTAAAATATCAAAACATCCGGGTGTCCCCTGGGCAACATCCTTGCAGACGGCCAACTCTCTCACATGAGAAGCAACTTGCAGTTTCTCAAGTTGCTCCCGATACAAAAAAAAGGGAAGCTGACCACACTTTAAGTGCAATGGCTCAATGCTACGTAAGTCACTCCCGACACACAAACAAAAAATAAATAGTGAAGTTGACACCACTTTAAGTGCAATGGCACTTTAAGTACAATGGAGTTGTAGTTTGGCAAGGCACCAGCACTCTTTGGTAAATAAGGCTAAGACCTTGTAAAACTGCAATTCCCAGGATTCTATAGCATTGAGGCACGACAGTTTAAGTGGTGTCAAACTGCATTAATTCTGCCGTGTAGATGCACTTTTCATCATAAGAAGAGTTCTCCTAGAATAGTTCAGACGCCTACTTAATCCAGAATTAACAGTCAACGAGTCACATGCAGAAAAGTTGAGAAGCAGGGCATTGATGTCGCAGCACTGGCTAGTTTCATCGAATAAGTGATATACAAAGGACACCAATGCTGGACTGTCGTAGTGCTATCATGGATATTTGCCACCGATGGTCCCAACCACCACAAATCTACCCAATTCCCCTTGAAAGCCCTCCATGTTGTCAACCCTATTTGCATCCTGTGGCAGGAAGTTCCACAGTTTAATCTATGCACTGTATGAAGAAGTACATTCTCTGTATGCCATGATTCCACTTCGGTGGATCAACTCAGGATCGAAAGCAGGCATGGGCAAACTTTGGCCCTCCGGGTGTTTTGGACTTCAACTCCCACAATTCCTAGCAGCCGGTAGGCTGCTAGGAATTGTGGGAGTTGAAGTCCAAAACACCCGGAGGGCCAAAGTTTGCCCATGCCTGACCTAAAGGGTGTCCCAAAAGTCTCCATACATAGGGAAACTTTAACAATTGCTTGCATGGAGCATGTTTGCAATGACTTTGTGTTTGCAGAAAGAGGTGGCCAACACGTGGATTATATTTTGTAAAATTGTATAATGAATATTTTGCAAATTAAAGTACACTTAGCTACAATTTACCATTTTCCTTATATATGGCGACTTTTGGGACACCCTGCATTAAGCAAAGGAAGCATAATTTCTTTGTCTGCTTTCCTTACACCATGCACAACTTTGTACAACTCTACCATGCCTTCCCTTTTTACTAGCCTTTTTCCTACACTAAACTCCCCCCTAAAAAAATACACACACACATACACACTCAAATCTCAGAGGCATGTTGCTATGGCCTCCTAATCACTGGGAAAGTTACTTTTCACACTACAAGTTCCACATTCCCCCAGGTTGCATGGCCCATCTTCAAAGCCAAGTGGTTGGCTCGGGTTTTTCCTCCTTCTTCTGTATCTAAACCATGTCCATTCTGATATTGTGTTCTGTTACAGTAAAACAAATACGTTTACACAGTCATACAACAGTTCAGAAGCTGACAAATTGAGTTCTGTTGTGGACACTTTCCTCTTGGTCTTTTTTTTTTCTTGTCCAGGTTCTCTTACAAGTAACATAGAGCAAGCCTTTGAACTTCTCTCCTGTGTGGAATCTCTAATGTGTTTCAAGGAGTACCCTATATACTCATGTCTAAGTTGAGGGCAGGTGCAGGCATGTAGGGGGGGGGGGGGCTTGAGGGGCTTCAGCCCCCCCCCCCCCGAAATTCTCATGGTGGTTCGCAAAAAGGCCTTACTGGTGCATTATTTAAACGGTTATGTTTATTCATATCATGATCTGATCACCATACTCAATATATCCCATATGCATGGGGGTATTGGGGTAATGATACAAAAGGTTTGCTAGGCTAGACCCTCTTTCACTCAGACTCAGCCCCCCGAAACTCACCCCCCCCCCCCAAATTTCCCCCCCCCCAAACGAAATCCTGGCTACGGGCCTGGTTTGGGGGCCAAAATTATGGATTTTTATATGACCTTGCATTAAGTTGAGTGTCAAAGAATCATAGAATCCTTGAGTTGGAAGAGATGGGCCATCCAGTCCAACCCCATTCTGCCAAGAATCAGGAAAATCGCATTCAAAGCACCCTCGACAGATGGTGATCCAGCATCTGTTTCAAAGCCTCCACCACACTCCAGGGCAGAGAGTTCCACTGCTGAACAGCTCTCACAGTCAGGAAGTTCTTCCTAATGTTCAGATGGAATCTGTTTTCTTGTAGTTTGAAGCCATTGTTCCATTGCGTCCTAGTCTCCAGAGCAGCAGAAAACAAGCCTGCTCCCTCCTCCCTGTGACTTCCCCTCACATATTTATACATGGCCCTCATCATGTCTCCTCTCAGCCTTCTTTTCTGCTGCTAAACATGCCCGGTTCTTTTAGCCGCTCCTCATAGGGCTTGTTCTCCAGAACCTTGATCATTTTAGTCGCCCTCCTCTGAACACATTCCAGCTTGTCAACATGCACCGGGATTGTGGCGCAGCTGGCTGATTGTCAGCTGCATTAAGATCACTCTGACCAAAAGGTCATGAGTTCGAAGCCAGCCCGGTTRGAGTGGGTTTCCAACCAATTGTGTGTAGCCTGTTGTCGACCTTTGCAACCCAAAATACAGTTGCATCTGTCAAGTAGGAAAATTAGGTGCCACCTCAACGTCTGGGGAGGCTAAATTAACTGATTTATGAGGCCATAAAGAAGACTCCAGCAAAGCATTCCAGCATGGAAGCATGCGGGGAATGTGGAAGTTGCTTCATCAGCGTCGCAGATGGACGATGAAAGCGACAGCTCCCCTGGTGGCCAGAAAAAGTTAAATAGCCTCTGTGTATGTCTGTATAAGTTTGTATGCCAAAAATTGGCATTGAATGTTTGCCATATATGTATACACTGTAATCTGCCCTGAGTCCCCTGCGGGGTGAGAAGGGCGGAATATAAAAGTAGTAAATAATAAAATAAATAAATCTCCCTTCAATTGTGGTGCCCGGAATTGGACACAATATTCCAGGTGTTATTTTTCTTACTGTTGACATCTATCCTCCTTTTCTTTTCAGGACCAATAAAACTCCCCTGCTTCTTACGCACTTGCATGTCTGAACACATTGATGTGTGGTGACGTCCAAACCATCCTCTGGCCTTGGAAAAATCACCAATAATATTAATTCAGGACTGGACATTTTTTTGCCAGGAGGTGATGGCTGCAAAGCAAAAAGGTGCGTTCTCTTTGGGTCAAGCACATTGGGAAGTTAAAACTGAGCAGCAAGATCCAGCAGCCCTTGAAGTGGGGATAGGAAAAGGCCTCCACATTGTGGATGAATTGGGGGACAGAAATGTTCTGCTGAACAGCTCTCTCTCACAGTCAGGAAGTTCTTCCTCAAGTTCAGGTGGAATCTCCTTTCATGTAGTTTGAAGCCATTGTTCTGCATCCTAGTCCCCTGTTCTGCATCAAGGGTCTGGAGAACAAGCCTTATGAGGAGCGGCTTAAAGAGCTGGGCATGTTTAGCTTGCAGAAGAGAAGGAGAGGAGACATGATGAGGGCCATGTATAAATATGTGAGGGGAAGTCATAGGAGGAGGGAACAATCTTGTTTTCTGCTGCCCTGGAGACTAGAACGCGGAGAGGAGATTCCACCTGAATATGTGGAATAACTTCCTGACTTGAGAGCCTTTCAGCAGTGGAACTCTCTGCCCTGGAGTGTGGTGGAGGATCCTCCTCTGTGGGCTTTGAAACAGAGACTGGATGCTTCTGTTAGGGGTGCTTTGAATGTGATTTTCCAGCTTCTTGGCAGAATGGGGTTGGACTGGATGGCCCATGAGGTCTCTTCCAACTCTAGGATTCTACGACTGTTTAGGAGAGACAAGCTCAAACATAAGAGCATGACCGATGAACCAATTAACGATCTGGATGTTTATTTTTGATGACTGGGAGTTTTCCATGAAGGACCTTTAATAAAGCTGGTGCTGCCACAAACAATATAAACAACCTACATGTTGTTTATATTGTTTGTTGTACCATCTTCATTTCTTAACAAACAATACAAACAATGTGACATTCATTGTCAGAACTGAGCAATTTCTGGACTTATACATGAGTATACAGGGTAAAGACTCATACTTCTCTCCTGCCTGGGTTCTCTTATGTGTACTAAGGAGCAAATATTTGTACTTCTCTCCTGTATGGATATATCTTATGTGTAATAGGAAGCATCTCGTCTATCTGGACTCTCTTATGTGTAATAAGGAGCCAGCTGCGAGCAAAGTCTCTCCCCAACATGGATCCTCTCATGAGCCACAAGAACCGACCTATCGTTGAAGCTCTCCCCGCAATCTGAGCAGTGGTAGGGCTTTCCCCCCGCGTGGCTTCTCTCGTGGACAATGAGGGCGGACCGCTTGCTGAAGGTCTTCCCACACTGGGAACACTTGTGCGGCTTCTCCCCGCGGTGGGTGCGCTTGTGGTCTGTGAGCGCCGACCGCTGCTTGAAGCTCTTCCCACAGTCGGTGCATTCGTGGGGCTTCTCCTCCAAGTGGACCGGCTTGTGGGCATTGAGGTGGGAGAGGTGCTCGAAGCGTTCGCCGCACTCCACGCACTGGTACAGCGCCCCAGCCGCATGGACCGTCTCGTGGGCGATCAGGTTGGAGCGGTGGCCGAAGCTCTTCCCGCAATCCAGGCACTTGTAGGGCTTCTCACCCGTGTGGGTTCTCTCGTGAACGATAAGATTGGACCGATGCATGAAGCTTTTCTCGCAGTGTGAGCAGGTATACGGCCGCTCACCCGTATGGGTTCGCTGGTGGACCGTCAGCGTGGACCGGTGCTTAAAGCTCTTCTCACAGAAGGTGCACTGATACCGTCTGTCTGCCAAACGAGTGTTTTTATTTTCCGGAACACCACGCTTGCCTATTCGAACCCACGGTTTGTCGGGACTAGTTCCTTTTCTGCTATTGGAAGCTGCTTCACTCCGGTCAGCAAAGTGAGAGGCGTCGTCTCCAGGAAATGTCCCGTAGGCTTGCACTTCCCCAGGATTTTCTCCCCGGCTTGCCTTTGCCCTGCGGAGCCTCTTGTCACCTCCTGTAACATACAATAACAGTGTCAGAAGGGACCCAACGGCCATCCAGTCTAACCCCATTCGTGTTGGAAATAGCAACACTCTACAAGCCTGGCTGGGAGTCAGCTGTATTAAGATCACTATTGACTGAAAGGTCATGAGTTCGAAGCCAGCCCGGGTCGGAGTGAGCATCCAACCAATTTGTGCAGCTTCCTGTCGACCATTGCAGCCCGAAAGACAGTTACATCTGTCAATTAGGAAATTTAGGTACCGCTTATGAAGGGAGGCAAATGTAACTAATTTACGAGGCCATAAAACTATCCAGCAAGCATGCAAAGAATGAGGAAGTACTTCATCCGTGTCACAAATGGTCGGTGAAGAGACAGCTCCCCTGGTGGCCAGAATACCTCAAGAAAAGCTGGAATGTTAAATTGTCTCTGTGTCTGTCTATATATGTTGTGTGTCTATGGCATTGAATGTTTGCCATGTATATGTACATTGTAATCCACTCTGAGTCCCCTGTGGGGTGAGAAGGGCGGAACATAAATACTGTAAATAAATAAGTAATACTGTATTACGGTATATATGTAGATTTTGGTATGCAGTTTCCCCCCCGTTACTCTATGTTTCTTGAGGTTGTGGGTGGGGCTGCAGACTTTCAGAAATATTGAAAGTTAACTGGGTATTTTTTATTACAACAGTGTGAATCAAGCACTGAAGGCCGAAGCCTGTTAAGAGTTAGTGGGCCAAAGCTAGCATCGCCACGAGGAGAGTGAGTAGGTCGAAGCCTTTTAGAGTTAGTGGGCCAAAGTTATGATCTGAAAGGTCATTCTTTCCCCAAAAGAATATGATCTCAATGTCATCCTTTTCCCAAAAGAATATGATCTCAAAGGTCATCCTTTTCCCAAAAGGATATGATCTCAAATGTCGTCCTTTTCTCAAAAGGTTATGATCTCAAAGGTCATCCTTTTCCCAAAAGGATATGATCTCAAAGGTCACCCTTTTCTCAAAAGGTTATGATCTCAAAGGTCATCCTTTTCCCAAAAGGTTATGACCTCAAAGGTCATCCTTTCCCCAAAAGGTTATGATCTCAAAGGTCATCCTTTTCCCAAAAGGTTATGATCTCAAAGGTCATCCTTTTCCCAAAAGTGTATGATCTCAAATGTCATCCTTTTCTCAAAAGCTTATGATCTCAAAGGTCATCCTTTTCCCAAAAGGATATGTTCTCAAAGGTCATCCTTTCCCCAAAAGGATATGATCTCAAATGTCATCCTTTTCTCAAAAGGATATGATCTCAAAGGTCATACTTTTCCCAAAAGGATATGACCTGAATGTCACCCTTTTCCCAAAAGGATATGATCTCAAAGGTCATCCTTTTCCCAAAAGGATATGATCTCAAAGATAATCCTTTTCCCAAAAGGTTATGATCTCAAAGTCATCCTTGTCCCAAAAGGATATGATCTCAAAGGTCATTCTTTTCCCAAAAGGTTATAATCTCAAAGGTCATCCTTTTCCCAAAAGGATATGATCTCAAAGGTCACCCTTTTATCAAAAGATTATGATCTCAAAGTCATCCTTTTCCCAAAAGGATATGATCTCAAAGGTCATCCTTTTCCCAAAAGGTTATGTTCTCAAAGGTCATCCTTTTCCCAAAAGGATACGATCTCAAAGGTCATCCTTTTCCCAAAAGGATATGACCTCAAAGATAATTCTTTTCCCAAAAGGTTATGATCTCAAAGTCATCCTTTTCCCAAAAGGTTATGATTTCAAAGGTCATCCTTTTCCCAAAGGATATGATCTCAAAAGCCATCCTATTTCCAAAAATTCTGTCATGCCGAAATGCATAAGGAAAAAGTTTTAAAGCAGTACATTTCACAATGGCAACATGTAACAACTGCATAAGAATTTACAAACAGTTTAATGAATTATGAAGTTATCGAATTTTACTTGGTAAGTCTGAAACAAATTTTAAAAACAACTCTGCAAATGGAGAACATCTCATTAGACCTTATATTTGCAAATGACTGAGGCTGGATCATAGAATCATAGAATCAAAGAGTTGGAAGAGACCTCATGGGTCATCCAGTCCAACCCCCTGCCAAGAAGCAGGAATATTGCATTCAAATCACCCCTGACAGATGGCCATCCAGCCTCTGTTAAAAGCTTCCAAAGAAGGAGCCTCCACCACACTCCGGGGCAGAGAGTTCCACTGCTGAACGGCTCTCACAGTCAGGAAGTTCTTCCTAATGTTCAGATGGAATCTCCTCTCGTGTAGTTTGAAGCCATTGTTCCGCGTCCTAGTCTCCAAGGAAGCAGAAAACAAGCTTGCTCCCTCCTCCCTGTGGCTTCCTCTCACATATTTATACATGGCTATCATATCTCCTCTCAGCCTTCTCTTCTTCAGGCTAAACATGCCCAGTTCCCTAAGCCGCTCCTCATAGGGCTTGTTCTCCAGACCCTTGATCATTTTAGTCGCCCTCCTCTGGACACATTCCAGCTTGTCAGTATCTCTCTTGAATTGTGGTGCCCAGAATTGGACACAATATTCCAGATGTGGTCTAACCAAAGCAGAATAGAGGGGTAGCATTACTTCCTTAGATCTAGACACTATGCTCCTATTGATGCAGGCCAAAATCCCATTGGCTTTTTTTGCCGCCACATCACATTGTTGGCTCATGTTTAACTTGTTGTCCACGAGGACTCCAAGATCTTTTTCACACGTACTGCTCTCGAGCCAGGCGTCCCCCATTCTGTATCTTTGCATTTCATTTTTTCTGCCAAAGTGGAGTATCTTGCATTTGTCACTGTTGAACTTCATTTTGTTAGTTTTGGCCCATCTCTCTAATCTGTCAAGATCGTTTTGAATTCTGCTCCTGTCCTCTGGACTATTGGCTATCCCTCCCAATTTGGTGTCGTTTGCAAACTTGATGATCATGCCTTCTAGCCCTTCATCTAAGTTATTAATAAAGATGTTGAACAGGACCGGGCCCAGGACGGAACCCTGCGGCACTCCACTTGTCACTTCTTTCCAAGATGAAGAGGAAGCATTAGTGAGCACTCTCTGTGTTCGTCCACTTAACCAATTACAGATCCACCTCACCGTAGTTTTGCCTAGCCCACATTGGACTAGTTTCCTTGCCAGAAGGTAATGGGGGACCTTGTCGAAGGCCTTACTGAAATCCAGGTACGCTACATCCACGGCATTCCCCGCATCTACCCAGCTTGTAACTCTATCGAAAAAGAGATCAGATTAGTCTGGCATGACTTGTTTTTGATAAATCCATGTTGACTATTAGCGATGACCGCATTTGTTTCTAAGTGTTTGCAGACCACTTCCTTAACAATCTTTTCCAGAATCTTGCCCGGTATCGACGTGAGGCTGACCGGACGGTAGTTGTTTGGGTCATCCTTTTTTCCCTCCCCCAATCTGCTGGAACTTCTCCCGTTCTCCAAGAACTCTCAAAGATGGTTGCCAATGGTTCCGAAATGACTTCCGCTAGTTCCTTCAATACTCTGGGGTGTAGTTGATCTGGCCCTGGGGACTTGAACTCATTAAGAGCGGCCAGGTATTCCTGGACGACTTCTTTCCCAATTTGGGGTTGGATGTCCTCCAATCCCTCATCCACTCCATCTTGCTGAGGTTGAAGACTCTCTTTTTGTGAGAAGACTGAGGCAAAGAAGGCATTAAGTAGTTCTGCCTTTTCCCTATCCCCTGTCAGCATTGCCCCATCTTCTCCTCGAAGAGGTCCTATCGCCTCCTTGTTTTTCCTTTTTCTACTGACATAAGAATAGAAGCCCTTTTTATTGTTTTTAATGTCCCTGGCAAGTCTGAGCTCGTTTTTTGTTTTAGCCTTGCAGACCTTTTCCCTACAGGTGTTGGCTATTTGTTTGAATTCTTCTTTGGTGATTTCTCCCTTTTTCCACTTCTTGTGCATGTCTCTTTTGTGTCTTAGCACAGTTAGAAGTTCTTTGGACATCCATTCTGGCTTCTTTGCACTTGTCCTATTTTTCTCTTTGTTGGCACGGTTTGCAATTGCGCCTTGAGTATTTCACTCTTGAGAAATTCCCATCCATCCGTAACTCCCTTGTCTTTTAGTATCTGTGTCCACGGAATGCTGCTCAGCGTTTCCTTCATTTTTTGGAAATCAGCTCTCCTAAAGTCCAAAATGCGGGTTTGACTTGTCTTAGTTTCGGCCTTCCTTTGTACCTCAAATTGCAGGAGCACATGGTCACTTGCCCCTAAGGATCCTACCACTTCGACCGCATCGATCAGGTCTTCCGCATTTGTTAGGATGAGATCAAGAGTAGCCAATCCCCTTGTTGCCTCTTCTACCTTCTGGACCATGAAATTGTCTGCAAGGCAAGCGAGGAATTTGTTGGACCTTGTACTCTTGGCCGAGTTTGTTTTCCAGCAAATATCGGGATAGTTGAAATCGCCCATGATACTACATCTCTTCTCTGTGCCTGTTTGGTCAACTGTTGGCAGAAGACTTCATCAAGTTCTTCCTCCTGGCTTGGGGGTCTGTAGTAGACGCCTACAACGACATCTTTTTGAGTCCCAGTTCCCTTGATTCTTATCCAGATGCTTTCAAGCTGGTTTCCCGGATTGCTGTCTTGATCTCTTCTGCAGCATAAGAGTTTTTGACATATAAGGCTACTCCGCCTCCTCTCTCCTTTGTTCGGTTTCTGTGAAAGAGGTTATACCCCTCGATATCTACATTCCAGTGATAGGAGTCATCCCACCAGGTTTCAGTGATCCCTATGATATCATATTTCAGGAGACTGTTTCTGTACCAGGAGAGGCATCTAAGGATAGTAATTTACAACTCTATTACCCACCCTTACAAAGAGTAGGAGTTTCATTCATGGGCAATTCATGGTTACGGATATAGCAATTTCACATCAGGTCCATCTTTTTGAAATACCGTGTACTTCCAAGATCCCCATAGAATGCATTCCCAGAAAGCAAAACCTAAATATTACCTAAAAGAGTGACCTCTCCTTCATTTTCCTGTTTGACCAAACTGAGAGACATCCTCTTCCAAGTATCTGGTAAACCCATCTCTGCACTGAGAGAATTGCTGCCATCTTCCTTGAATGTCCCTGGTACCTGAAAAAAGAAGGAAGGATCCATGGAGAAGGCCCACTGCTTGGTGCTTGAGTATTTGTGTTATCCACCAGCTTATTTTATTAAGTACTACCTAAACCCAGCTACGCTTTGCTGTGGCTCAGTCTGATATGAAATGAATGTGAAAGTAAATAAAATTCAATTCAATTCAATACTCTGCCTTACGTTCAAGTATTGCAACTACATACGTCTTCACTATAGATCTAATTGTTTTTGCCATTGTTGAGACGATTGTACTGCTCTTCTTCCTCTCGATTCAATTCCTAAAACTCGTACTATGGCCAGCGCTAAAAATCCCAAACACACTGACTTCCCCTGTACTATTCGCATTGTCAAGAGCAACCAATCACAGGTCAGCTTTCATTTCTTATACTGCTAAGGGGAAATGATAGCTGCTCTGTGATTGGTTGGTATTTCTTATACTGCTGAGGTAAAAGGAAAGCTGCACAGTGATTGGTTGTTATGTTTTCTACTGCTGAGGCAAAATGAAAGCTGTTCTGTGATAAATTGTTATTTCTTATACTGCTGAGATAAAAAGAAAGCTCTGCAGCGCTTGGTTGTTAGAAGTCAGTTTTCATTTCGTATACTGCTGAGGTAAAATGAAAGCTAGGCTGTGAGTAGTTGTTAGGGGCAATACAGATTTTCTTTTGGACAACTTTCATAAGAGTGGGTGCTTGGTTCATTTTTGGTGGCCTCTTTGTCTATTTCTGGACTGCTAGTTTTACTCTGAATACACTCGTGTATTTGAATGCACCATTGTGTCAAAATTTCATTTTACTATAAAATCATGTACGTATTGGAATGCAACATTGTGTCAAAATGTCAACACAGAGTGTTGCTGGTTGGTGCTGGGAGAGAGAGACCCACGGTGCTAAGTAAAATGGCAGCCACAGCTTCTTCCCTCTGGGGACACACAATACCTAAAGCAGAGCATCCTGCTCCTCATTTCACCGATGAGACTTACTTTTACGTTCTATGTCTCCCTCTATGCCTCATATTGCAGCACACACAGAATGACCGGGACATGATAGGGGGAGCTGACCTTGTATGCTGCATAGCCATGCCTATCACTATGTCTTATTTTCAGGGTATGGCTTATATTGCGCAAATGCTTAGAAATCCTGCTACGTCTTATTTTATGAATATGTCTTATTTTAGGGGAAATCGGCTAATAATAATAATAATAATAATAATAATAATAATAATAATAAAACAAGTACCACCTGCCAGCAGTAAAGAATTGGTGGAATCATAAACCTGCAAAGGTCGTGGAAAATGAACATGCAAAAATACTGTGGGACTTTCGAATCCAGACTCACAAAGTTTTGAAACACAATACACCAGACATCATGATTGTGGAAAAGAAAAAAGTCTGGATTATTGATGTCGCCATATTGGGTGAGAGTCACATTGAGGAAAAACAACAGGAAAAACTCAACCACTATCAAGACCTCAAAATCGAATTGCAAAGGCTCTGGTATAAACCAGTACTGGTGGTCCCAGTGGTCATTGGCACACTGGGTGCCGTGCCAAAAGATCTCAGCCGGCATTTGGAAACAATACACATCGACAAAATCACGATCTGTCAACTGCAAAAGACCACTTTACATGGATCTGCGCGCATCATTCAAAAATACATCACACAGTCCTAGATGCTTGGGAAGTGTTCGACTTGTGATTTTTTGATACGAAATCCAGCATAGAGATCTCGTTTGCTGTGACATACTGTGCTTTTAGGTCAATAATAATAATAACAATAATAATAATGCTTTTTTAATAACCTGCCCTATCTCTCCGAGGGGACTATTTTACACAAAATCAACCTGTAACATGCAATGAGAAAGGTGCCTGACTGCCAATGAACCTGAAGAAGTTTGCTACCGTTCAAGTTCAAGAGTTCCAATAGGTAATGAAATATAATTGCAGTGGGCCCTCCACATCCACAGAAACTGCATAAAAAAACAAATCCTGAATTTGCCATTCAAAATAAGGCACACTGTTTTACTATGCTATTATATACAATTATTTATTTATTGCACTTAGAGTGGTCCCTCATCGCGGGTGTTACATTCCAGGACCACCCGCGATAAGTAAAATTCCATGAAGTAGGGACGCCCCCATCCCTCCTCGCCCACTTTACCTTCCTCTTCCTCCTCGCCGCCGCCGGAGCCTCTTGCTGCCGCTTGGGCCCCACGATGCCTCTGCCACCTCCTTGATCGCGGGGCCCAAGTGGCGGCAAGAGGCCCAGGCGGCGACAAGGAGGAGGAAGAGGAAGGTAAAGAGGCCCAGGCGGTGACGAGGTGCCTCTCTCTCTCTCTCTCTCTCTTTCACTTAGTATTCCCTCACTACTTAAATTCATTTTTTTTAAAACCGCAAAGCAGTGAGTTCGCAAAAAGCAAACCGCAAAGTAGGGAACACTGTATATACCACTTTTATTTATTTATTTCAGATATTTTTATTCCCCGGGGGGGGGGGGGGGACTCAGGGTGGCTTCCAGCCGGCACATATTCAATGCCTACAATTCAACACAGTAAAACAGTGTGCCTTATTTTGAATGGCAAATTCAAGATTTGTTTTTTTTGTGGATGTGGAGGGCCCACTGCAATTATATTTCATTACCTATTGGAACTCTTGAACTTGAATGGTAACAAACTTCTTCAGGTTCATTGGCAGTCAGGTACCTTTCACGTTGCGTGTTACAGGTTGATTTTGTGTAAAATAGTCCCCTCGGGGAGATAGGGTGGGTTATAAAAAAGCATTATTATTATTATTATTATTATTATTATTATTATTAGCCTATTTCCCCGAAAATAAGACATACCCATAAAATAAGACACAGCAGGATTTCTAAGCATTTGCACAATATAAGTCACACCCTGAAAATAAGACATAGTGATAGGCATGGCTATGCAGCATACAACAAAAACAGTAATTATAAATACTTAAAAATGTTGAATTAATACAATAAAATCTACTAGAAAAGAAAGCCAGTCTGGTGGCCGTTGTCTTGCCGAGTTCTGTAATTAGAGACTCCATTCAGCTTGTCCATAATCCGTTTCCATAGCTATTGTCGTCATTGTCCTCGTCACGTCTGCAAGATTACCCGAAGGCCTGGTCCCACATCCATGTTTTTAATTATTTATTATCAAAACAACAAGGACAATAGATTAAAACCATTAAGATTATAAAACTGTAAAACATCAGTCACACACAATATATAAAACATTTAGGCCTTGCACAATCCCGAGGCTATCGTTAACTACATCCATATTTACATGTTTCTGTCATTCACTGAATCCCTGCACTACACTGCACCAAGTGTCCCTGTACTATAATGCCAGTAACTTCCAGCTCTCTCACCTGTTCCTCTGGTGGCTCCAGCAGGAAGCTCTCTGCCAGGGCTACAGCCTGGGCACAGTTCTCTGGCCCGCCTTCCTGCACCCGGTGCCGGATCCTGTGGGGCAGAACGACCAGGAACTGCTCCAGGACCACCAGCTCCAGGATCTGCTCCTTGGTGCGCCTCTCGGGCTCCAGCCACCCGTGGCAAAGCTCCCAGAGGCGACGGCAAGCTCTCCGGGGACCCTCGCCCTCTCGGAAACAGAACTGTCGGAAGAGCTGGCGATGGGCTTCTGGACTGTCGGCCTCCGGGAGATCCTCCTCCTCTTCTTCCTCCGCATCTTGGACGCTTCCCATGGTGTTGGTGTCACCAGTCTTCCGGGCCTCGTCCCTTAAGTTTGGCACAAAGTGGGCTAACGTCTCTCCTCCACGTCGATGTCCTAAGTGAGACAGAAAAGCCATCGTGTGACCCTAGGAGGCCTGCATCTGTGCACTGTAATTCTGACTCTACGTCCTCCAAGAAATGCTGCTATTGTGCTTCCCAACACTGATAGAGCCATTCCTCCAGCTCATAGGGTTGGAAGAGACCCCAAGAGTCATCCAATCCAACCCGATTCTGCCATGCAGGAAAATACAATCAAAGCATTCCTTATAGAAGGCCATCCAGCTTCTGCTTTGAAACATTCAGAGAAGAATACTCCATGACACTCTTTGGGCTCCTTCTGCACTGCCATAAAAATCCAGATTATCTGCTTTGAACTGGATTTTATGGCAGTGTAGACTCATATAATCCACTTCAAAGCAAATAATAGCAAAGCTTTGATAACCTGAATTATATGGCAGCATAGAAAGGTTTGAGGAAGCAACATATTCCATTACTGAAGAGCTCCTACTCTCAGAAAGTTCTTCCTAATGTTTAGGTGAAATCTTTTTCCCCAGAATTTGAATCAATCACCCCATTGTGTCCTAGGGCCCCTCCACACAGCCAAATAACCCAGAATATCAAGGCAGAAAAACCCACAATATCTGATTTGAACTGGAATATCTGAGTCCACATTGTCATATATCCCAGTTCAAAGCAGATAATGTGGGGTTTTATTCAGTTGTGTGGAAAGGGCCATAGTCTCCAGAGCAGCAGAAAACAAGCCTATCCCCATGTGACATTGTCTGGATGTACACTGCCATATAATCCAGATTATCAATGCAGATAATCCACATTATCTGCTTTGAACTGGATTATATGGGTCTACACTGCCATATAATGTAAAATAATATAATATATTATATATACATATAATATTTATAATATTATGTCATGCAATATAATACTACTAATAATATGATATTATAATTATATATTTATACTACATGTAATATTACTAATAATATTGCAATATAATGGTATAGTACAATATAGTAATATTTAATACTGATATTGTACTTTGCTAATAATATAATATATTGTATGCATATATATCTTGTAATTTATTTGTTTATTCCATTTATATACCGCTTTTCTCAGCCCTCAGGTGACTCAAAGTGATTTACAGTAGCAAAATTTCAATGCTTAAAAATCATAAAAATATATAAAACAATTAAAAATTTATTTATTTAGTCATTTAATTATTTAATCAAAATTAAATTAAAATTTTATTTATTTATTTATTTATTTATTCATTTCAGGTATTTGTACCCCGCCCTTCTCACCCCCAAGGCTGCTCTGAGTCCCCTTCAGGGTGAGAAGGGCGGCATCTAAATGTCGTAAATAAATAAATATAATCCAGTTCAAAGCAGATAATATGGATTTTATATCACAGTGTAATAGATCCAGCTATCCCTTCCAATATTTACACATGGCTCTCATGCTCCCTCTCAGCCTTCTGTTCTCCAGGCTAAACGTGACCAGCTCCCTAAGCCATAACTCACAGGGCTTGGCTTCCAAACCTTTGATCCTTTTGGTTGTACTTCTCTGGACACCTTCCAGCTTCAGCTTAGGATCAATATCCTTCTTGAATTGTGATGTCCAGAACTGGACACAGGGTTATCCCAGGTGAGGTCAGACCAAAGCAAAATAGAGAGGGATTTTGACTTCCCTCGATCCAGACACTATACTCCTATTGATGCCGCTAAGAATCACATTGGCTTTCTAGGTGGCGCATCACAGTTGACTCATTCTCAGCTTGTGGTCCACTAACACTCCTAGATCTCTTTCCCTTTCTTGTTTCATCACGCCCAATTCGCCGGGTCCCTCCCACTCCATGGTGCCCTCACCCAAGATGGTGGAAGAGGTGCCCTGTCCAAGTTCGGACTCTAACAGATCCATCCTCTCCATCTTCATTTCATTTTCCTGGAGTCCTTCTGGCGACTCCCTTCCATCCTCCACAGAAGCCATTTCCTTCGGCAACAAGTTGGGCTACACTGCAAAAGTAGATTGGTTGGAATACAAGAAGGAAACACGTTCAAACTAAAATAAGAGACAGGACAATCTATATAAATAAAAATGTCATGTTCGTTTGTGGGATTATCATAACTCAAAAACCACTGGATGAATTGACACCAAATTTGGACACAATACACCTATCAGGCCAATCAATAATCATCACTCAAAAAAGTACTGAAAAACACAATGGAAGGGACTTAAAAAGCCAAAAAAAAATTACATTACAACACATGCACAAAACCACATATACATACACATATGCATATATACACACACAAAACACATTACACAGACTGGGCCACAGCAATACGTGGCAGGGGACAGCTAGTCTATATAAATAAAAATGTAATGTTTGTTTGTGGGATTAACGTAACTAAAACCACTGGACAAATTGCTACCAAATTTGGCCACAAGACACCTACTAACCCAAGGAGTGACCATCACTCAAAAATGATTTTGTCATTTGGGAGTTGTACTTGCTGGGATTTATAGTTCACCTACAATCAAACAGCATTCTGAGCTCCACCAATGATGGAATTGAACCAAATGTGGCACACAGGAAAAGGGTGGAAGGAGAAAGAGAGTGAAGGTGGGAGGAAAGAGAGAAGGAAAAGTAAAGGGAAGGAAGGATGAAAGGGTGGATGGAGAAAGAGAGGGAAGAAGGGAGGAAAGAGAGAAGGAAGTTAAGAGAAAAGGGAAGGAAGGATGAAAGGGTAGAATTGAAAGGTGGAAGGAGAAAGAGGGAGAGAGGAAAGGATGGAGGAAAGAGGGAAGGAAGTTAAGAGAAAAGGGAAGGAAGGAAGGATGAAAGGGTGGAAGGTAAGGGTGGACGGAGAACGAGAGTGAAGGTAGGAGGAAAGAGAGAAGGAAGAGTAAAGGGAAGGAAGGATGGAAGGGTGGAAGGAAAGGATCGAATCGTTATTGTTGTAAACCATCCTGAGTTGCCTGAGGCCTGAGAAGGGCAGTATACAAATACAGTAAATAAGTAAATAAATAAACTGTGGTGCCCAGAATTGGACACAGTATTCCAGGTGTGGTCTAACCAAGGCAGAATAGAGGGGTTGCATGATTTCCCTGGATCTAGACACTTAGACCACTTCTGCACTGCCATACTAAATAATAATAATAATAATAATAATAATAATAATAATAATAATAATAATACTAGAACTGCAAAGGAACTGGCATAAACCAGTACAGGTGGTCCCAGTGGTCATCGGCTCACTGGGTGCCATGCCAAAAGATCTCAGCCGGCATTTGGAAACAATAAACATCAACAAAATCATGATCTGTCAACTGCAAAAGGCCACCTTACTTGGATCTGCGCGCATCATCGAAAATACATCACACAGTCCTACATACTTGTTCGACTTGTGACTTTGTGATACAAAATCCAGTATATAGATCTTGTTTGCTGTGACATACTGTGCTTTTGTGTCAATAATAATAATCTATATAAATAAAAATGTAATGTTCGTTTGTGGGATTAACAGAACTCAAAAACCACTGGACAAATTGACACCAAATTTGGACACAAGACACCTAACAACCCAATGTATGTCCTTCACTCAAAAAAAATGATTTTGTCATTTGGGAGTTGTAGTTGCTGGGATTTATAGTTCACCTACAATCAAAGAGCATTCTGAACCCCACCAGATGGAATTGAACCAAACTTGGCACACAGTTCTCCCATGACCAACAGAAAATACTGGAAGGGTTTGGTGGGCAGTGTCCTTTGGTTTTGGAGTTATAGTTCACCTACATCCAGGGATCACTGTGGACTCAAACAATGATGGATCTGGACCAAACTCTACACGAATACTCAATATGTCCAAATGTGAACACTGATGGAGTTTGGGGAAAATAGAATCTTGACATTTGGGAGTTGTAGTTGCTGGGATTTATAGTTTACCTACAATCACAGAGTATTCTGAACCCCACCAACACAGACGATGTCCAACTCTGTCACTCCCTTCCACCTGCTACTAAGGAGGCTGTCGAGGTCCTGAACCGGTGCCTGGCCGCTGTACTGGTCTGGATGAGGGCGAACAAACTGAAATTAAATCCAGACAAGACAGAGGTACTCCTGGTCAGTCGCAAGGCCGAACAGGGTATAGGGTTACAGCCTGTGCTGGATGGGGTCGCACTCCCCTTGAAGGCGCAGGTTCGCAGCTTGGGTGTGATCCTGGATTCATAGTTGAGCCTGGATCCCCAGGTTTCAGCGGTGACCAGGGGAGCATTTGCACAGCTCAGGCTCGTGCGCCAGCTGCGCCCGTACCTCGGGAAGTCTGACTTGGCCACGTGGTACACGCTCTGGTCACATCCCGCCTTGACTACTGCAACGCTCTCTACGTGGGGCTGCCCTTGAAGACGGCCCGGAAGCTTCAGCTAGTCCAGCGCGCGGCAGCCATGTTACTAACAGGAGCGGGACGCAGGGAGCACACAACGCCCTTGTTGTTCCAGCTCCACTGGCTGCCGATCTGCTACCGGGCCCAATTTAAGGTGCTGGTGTTATCCTACAAAGCCCTAAACGGTTCCGGCCCAAAATACCTTTCTGACCGCATCTCGGCCTATGAGCCCACGAGGACCTTGAGATCGTCTGGGGAGGCCCTTCTCTCGATCCCGCCTGCCTCACAGGCACGTCTGGCGGGGACGAGGGATAGGGCCTTCTCGGTGGTGGCCCCCCGGCTGTGGAACACCCTCCCTGTAGACATCAGACAGGCGCCCTCCCTTATGACATTCCGCAAGAGCCTAAAGACATGGTTATTTGAGAAGGCGTTTGACTAAGTGCTACAACAATTGGCAATGATGACTGGAACGGAATATGGATAACGAGATTGGTTTATGATTCTACGATGAGACGGCGCGGATGATTTAGTGTAATTGTATTATTGATAGTTATGTTGATATTTGTTGTGATATTGCTTTATTGTAAACTGTTTTTTATATGTTGTACACCGCCGTGAGTCGCCCTAGGGCTGAGAACGGCGGTCAACAAATGCAGTAAATAAATAAATAAATAAATAAATAAATAAATAAATAAATAAATAAATTGGGCCAAACCTCCCACATAAAAACCCCATGTGGGCCACAGCAATGTGTGGCAGGGGACAGCTAGTAATAATAATAATAATCTTTATTCAATACCCCAGCACCATCTCCCCAACAGGGACTCGAATCCATATTATCATTTTTGAACTGGATTATATGACAGTGTAGACTCAAATAATCCAGTTCAAAGCAGAAAATGTGGACAATATGCTTTGCTAATATGGATTATTTGGCAGCGTAGAAGTGGTTCAGACTCAGAAAGAGGTAAAGGCAAACAACAACAACAACAACAACAACAACATGGATACTTTGGGGCCTCTAAACTCCTGTGATCCACCATTTAGGCATTTTAGCAATCCTGATCTGTATGTAGCAAAAATATTTAATTCGGTGCAACATTAATTGAATTGCATCCTGGTCTTTCTGGTTTTTTTCCCCAGTCCTACCTTTGTCTGGATGTGCCTTCTTCCTCTCCCCTTCTTTGGACTCACCTGAATGCACTGGCAGCAAAGCCTCCCCAAATCTGCTCAGCCTGGAAAAACCAGATTGCCTTCCCTGCAGGAGAGGGTAATAAAGGCTAGGAAAGGAAGGGTTTCAAGCCACCCTCTTCCCTTCCATAAAGGCTGGTCTAGGAAGAGGCTCGTTTATTTTAACTCGTTAGGAGCAGATGGGGAAAGAGTCACGCCTCCTAGTAGAGGATGCTGGGAGATGTAGTCCAAACAAAGGAATATTTGCAGGCTCTTGGGAAAGAAAGAGGCAGAAGCTCCTGCTATGTTCCACGAGAGGGCGCCTGATTGAGAAAATGACACCAAAGCTGCAAAACAGCACACATGATGGGAAAAAACAGGCCCCTCTACAAATAATATATTTAAAATATGGTATAAAATTTTCCCAGCGGAGGTTAGAAGGGATATAGTTTCCACAGTCTGTTCTCCTTGAAGTCTGCTGGATTTTCTTGGTCGCTGACACTTTTTCAATGACCTGGTGTAGTTGTTGTGTCAGCTCAGGTCCACCCTCTTCAAAGATTTCAACAGGGATCCCATCAGGTCCGCTGGCTTTGTTATTTTTTTTGTTGGCTGATAGCTTTTGACTTCCTCCAGACTAGGTAGTGCTGCAAGATCATCCCTAATTTATTGTTGCAGGGTTTGCGAGAGAACTTCTTTGGCCACGTTGGAATTGTGATTCAGGAGGTTGTGGTAGTGCTCTTTCCAACGTAGTGCAATTGATTTTTTATCCTTTAGAAGTTTAGTTCCTGATGAGCGCAAAGGGTGTATGCCGTGATTTCTTGGTCCATAAATATTTTAATATGTTTAGTATCTAACAGGAGTATACCATAATTATAATATAATATAATAAATATATATACTAATAAAATTGTAAATAGTAAATTATAAAATAATAACAAGTTATTTTATTGTTATTATTTTATAGTTTACTATTTACAATGATTGACCCCACAAGGCAACACCCTGTGGGGAATGTAGTTAGAGCAACATGTTACAGCTGAAATGCTACTAGACTCGCAATGTGCCCCTCCCTTCCCCCTTAGGCCCCCCCCAGTGTTTTGACCCCTCCTATCAATCCTCCCCTCCCCCCCCCCTGGTTCCAAACCTGTTACAACATAACCTGTGTTTTAAAATGTGATTTTTAACTGTTTTCTAATCTATTTTTAAATAACTGCTTCACTTGTCCTTCCCCTCCCAGGGCTCTTGTGCTGGTCAGTGACCGTAATAAAATATTGTATTGTATTGTATTGTATTGTATTGTATTGTTATTTTATAATATTTTATAATTTATCATTTCGTTTTTACAATCTTTTTAGTTTTTATAATTCAAAAATATTTTATATATTCTGAATTACAAAATTTAAAATGATAAATTATAAAATGATTTTAAATTTTATAGTTTAAGACATGGTAATTATTTTTTAAAAGTTTTTAATTTCAAAAATATTTCAAAATATTTTAATATGTTTAGTATCTAACAGGAGCGTACCACAATAGTAATATAATATATAATATATTATGATAATAGTAAAATTAGAAAATTGTAAATAGAACACTTTACAATAATAGGAATAATAGTTATTTTATAACATTTTATAATTTATATTTTTGGGTTTTATAATTCAAAAATATATTATATCCCCTAAATTACAAATTTTTAAATTATACTATTTTAAATTTTTATAGTTAAAAATGTTTATAATTTATTTCAAGTTTCAAATATATTTTAAAATATTTTAATATGTTTTGTATTTAACACATTGGTTCTATTTTTTTTTTTTACATTACAAAATTTAAATAGTGTATTGAGTGTATGTCAGTGTTTCTCAACCTTCCTAATGCCACGACGCCCTAATACAATTTTTCATGTTGTGGTGACCTCCAACCCACAGCATTATTTTCATTGTTACTTCATAACTGTAATTTTGATTTTGTCATTTGGGAGTTTTAGTTCCTGGAATTTATAATTCACCTAAAAGAGCATTCTGAACTCCACCAATGATGGCACTGAACCAAACTTGGCACACAGAACTCCCATAACCAATGGAAAATACTGTTTTCTGTTGGTCTTTGGCGACCCTGACCCGCAAGTTGAGAAACGCTGGTGTAAAGCAAAGGTTGGCAAAACACAACTTTCTGTGTCTCTAGAGCCCCACTACACTGCCATATAATGCAGTTTCAGAATGCAGATTAACTGAATTGAACTAGATTGTATGGCAGTGTAGACTCTTATAATCCAGTTCCATGCTTTTAATCTGTATTAGATGATATAACAGTGTACAACCAACCCAGGACTACACTCCCCATCATCCTCAGCCGTTAGTGAAGCAAGTTGGAATTTGTAGCCCAACTGCTGTTTTGCCCATTTCTGGAGAAAAGTTCATTTTTTATTGAAACATTTTCAAGTTATATGGGTTTATACTGACAATCCAAATAATTTAGTTGTTTGATTTGTATGTGGGTTGTATTGTAAGTGACAAGGGGAACCATAGAGTAAAAAGCAATGGAGTGTGAAAGAGAATAAGTGGCTTTTCGGAAAACACTGAAAGTCCAACAGTAAATAACTTTTAAAATATTGTAACCCGAACTAAAAAAACACTCTTTAGCATAGCAGGTTAATCACCAGATGCAGTAAATCTTACCAACCAAAAGGTTGACAGTTCGAAGCCGCGTCAGGGTGAGCTCCAGCTCCCAACCCACCTAGCAGATCGAAAACAGCAATGTGAGTAAATGAATAGGAACCGCATTAAGCGGGGAGGCATTTTAGGCACAGCGTTTCGGAGGAAAGTTTACAAACGAAGAAAGCTCTTCAGCAAGGAGATAGAGCGACAGCACCCCCCTGTGGCCGGAACCGAACACAGCCTCCAAAAGATGCTGAATGAGAAAAACCTAAATATACCTCTATCTGTTGTCTATCTTGTCACTGTATACTCAGCATTGAATGTTTGCCATATATGTGTTCTGTGATCCGCCTTAAGTCCCCTTAAGGGTGAGAAGGGCAGAATATAAGTACTGTAAATCTATATAAATAAAAATGTAATGTTCGTTTGTGGGATTAACATAACTCAAAAACCGCCAGACAAATTGCCACCAAATTTGGCCACAAGATACCTACTAACCCAAGGAGTGACCATCACTCAAAAATATGATTTTGTCATTTGGGAGTTGTAGTTGCTGGGATTTATAGTTCACCTACAATCAAAGAGGATTCTGAACTCCACCAATGGTAGAATTGAACCAAACGTGGCACACAGAACTCCCACGACCAACAGAAAACACTAGAAGGGTTTGGTGGGCATTGACCTTGAATTTTGGAGTTGTAGTTCACCTACATCCAGAGAGCACTGTGGACTCAAACAGTGATAGATCTGGACCAAACTTGGCTCGAATATTCTATATGCCCAAATATGAACACAGGTGGAGTGTGGGGGGAAATAGACCTTGACATTTAGGAGTTTAGTTACTGGGATGTATAGTTCACCTACAATCAAAGAGTGTTCTGAACCCTTCTAATGACAAAATTGGGGCACACTGAACCCCCATAACCAAAAGAAAATACTTAGGGCCATCCAGTCCAACTCCCTTTGCCAGGGCAAGAAAACGTAATCAAAGCCCTCCTGACAAAGAGCCATCCAGCCATAGATATAAATAGATAGATATAATTCACACAGAGAGAGCTATAGCATCACAGATGTGAAAGGGACCCCTAAAGAAGGACAATGATATGTTGCATGTTCCAGAGTAGGCAAACCAGACAATCTCCACATCAACACTGACAAAGAAACAGTAAGAAATACTGTTTACCCACAAGCATAAAGAAATTACATATATTCGAAACCAACACTTTCTCGTTACTTTATTTTCCAGATTACCAGACTGGGCCACAGCAACATGTGGCAGGGGATGGCTAGTAGACAAACAAACAAATCTTAAAAATTAACTTTCAAGCCAGCCTGGCCCTGGCTTATCAGGATACTTTTAATTAAGACCTCTTCCACACAGCTGTATAACATCCCCATTGAACTGGGATTATATGGCAGTGTGGATTCAAGATAACTCAGTTCAAAGCAGAGATTGTAGATTATCTACCAAAATATTCTGGGTTATATGGCTATGCGGAAGGGCCCTAAGTGCTTTAAAATTCAATATCAGCCTCCCAATCCTTTACTCTCTTTCATGGCCAATTTACACATGTATTTCTTTATTATTCCTTTATTATTCCAGCGCAGTTCACAATGACATACAAAAAAACCCACAATGGAACAAAATCCAATATTAAAAGACAGTGGAGTTTAAAAATGAATGTATAAACGCTCACAAAATTGGATTTAATCCAGGAACTAAAAAGAACACAAGATGCTTTTTTCACTTTTCATACTTATATGGGGGAATGTAAATGCCTTCAGGTTTGGAATCTAAAAAGTTATTTTAAAAAATGATTTCTGTGCAGATAATATTTTTATTAATATGACAATACCCTTCATACAGGTAGGTGACTTCCCACTGTTGGTTTCTGCAAAGGTTTAATTATTTGCTTTATGTTTTAGAGCAGTGTTTCTTAACCTTCCTAATGCCGCGACCCCTTAATACAGTTCCTCATGTTGTGGCGAACACTAACCATAAAATTATTTTCACTGCTACTTCATAACTGTAGTTTTGCTACTGTTATGAATCGTAATGTAAATATGTGGTATGCAGGATGTATTTTCATTCACTGGACCAAATTTGGCACAAATACCCCATACACCCAAATTTGAATACTGGTGAGGTTGGGGGGGGGGGGGGGGGGAGATTGATGATGTCATTTGGGAGTTGTAGTTGCTGAGATTTATAATTCACCTACTATCAAAGAGCGTTCTGAACTCCACAATGTTGGAATTGAACCAAACTTGGCACACAGAACTCCTATGACCAACAGAAAATACTGGAAGGGTTGGTGGGCATTGACCTTGAGTTTGGGAGTTGTAGTTCACCTAAATCCTGAGAGCACTGTGAACTCAAAACAATGATGGATCTGGACCAAACTTGGTGTGAGTACTCAATATGCCCAAATGTGAACACTGGTGGAGTTTGGGGAAAATAGATCTTGACATTTGGGAGTTGTAGTTGCTGGTATTTATAGCTCACCTACAATCAAAGAGCATTCTGAACCCCACCAACAATAGAATTGGGTCAAGCTTCCCACACAGAGAGCACCATGACCAACAGAAAATACTGGAGGAATTTGGGATGAATTGACAGTGATTTAGGGGAGATGTAGTTCGCCTACATTCAGAGAGCACTGTGAACCCAAACAACTATGCCAAAGGGATTCCCAAGACTGTCAGATATATGTGTTTCTGATGGTCTTTGGTGATCCCCCTGAAACCGCCTTGCAACCTACCCAGGAGTCCCGATCCCCAGGCTGGGAAACACTGTTTTAGAGGGTGGAATGAAATAAATGGCCATCTGCTAAGAATGCTTTGATTTTTTATAATTAATTGTTTTTATTCAATTTATTGAATGACAACTCCCATAATTTTCGGTTATCCACCATGTGGATGGTGGATAGGCTAAGGCCCAGAAAGAAGAATTTGTGGAAGGGCTGGTTGACTCACTGAACCAGCATAGCTGAAATTGGCAGGAGTTATGTGAGTTTAATCCACAAAAAGAAACTCTTCCCCAATTTCCCAACAAAGGTTTGTCAGCAGTCGAGTATGCCACTGCCTGGGATTCCAATGAGAGTCTCCTTCTCTAGAGGTTTTTAAACTGAGGCGACATGGCCATCAGTTGGGGAATGCTTTGATTGTGTGTTCTTGTTGCCCTGGAAACTAGTGGCCCTTCTACACCGCCATATAATCCAGAATATCAAGGCGGATAATCCAGATTATCTGCTTTGAACTGGATTATATGAGTTTACACTGCCAGATAATCCAGTTCAAAGCAGACAATCTGGATTTTATATGTCAGTATAGAAGGGGCCTAGGACTCAGAGCAATGGGTTGTTGTAAAGCATGACTGTAGGAGCTGTTCAGCAGTGGAACTCTCTGCCTCAGAGTGGTGGAAGCTCCTTCCTTGGAGGCATTTAATCAGAGAATGGATGGCCCTCTGTTTGGGATGCTTTGATTCTGCTTTTTCTGCATGGCAGAAGGGGATTGGTCTGGATAGCCCATGTGGTCTCTCCCAACTCTATTAGTCCATGAGTCTATGATTCCTGCATGCCAGAATGGGATCAGACTGGATGGCCCTTGTGGTCTCTCTATGATTTACCCACCACAGTGAACTCGAAGTGTGCAGAAATACACACACACAGAGGTGCTGGTAAGTGTTTCACAACCAGTTGGTGCACTGGAAGGCCTTCTCTCGGGTGTGCAACTTCTGGTGCGTCATGAGGATGTCCCTCCTACCGAAGTTCTTCCCGCACACCAGGCAGTGGAAGGGCTTCTCCCCAGTGTGGCCTCTCTCGTGGATGACCAGGCAAGTCCGCTGGCTGAAGCTCTTCCCACACTCCGAGCACTTGTAGGGCTTCTCCCCAGTGTGGGTCCGCCGGTGGGTCACCAGGAACTGTTTCCGGCTGAAGCTCCTCCCGCAGTCGGGGCACAGGTAGGGTTTCTCCCCCGTGTGAGTTCTTTCATGTTTAATAAGGTCCGACTTCGAGATGAAGCCTTTGCCGCAGTGGGAACAGATGTAGGGCTTCTCTCCCGTGTGGATCCTCTCGTGCTTAATGATGTATGACTTGCGGCTGAAGCTCTTCCCGCAATAGGAGCACGAGTAGGGTCTCTCTCCCGTGTGGGATCTTTGGTGTTCGATAAGCTCTGACCGCCACACAAAACCTTTCCCGCATTCGGGGCATTTTTTCAAGCGCTCGTCTTGGATTCTCGTCTGGACCCTGACTCCTGCTGCGACTTGCGGGCTACAATTCAACCTTCCCTTCTCCAGGCAGCTTTCCAAAGCTTCCCCTGAATCAGGGTTGTGGGAAACTTTCCATGCAATTCTTCCAAGCAGTATCTTATGGGGTTCTGCTACTCCAGAATTGTCTGGATCCACGCCATACGTTTGTTCATCACCTGGCAGAAAGGGGGAAATCCAAACGTCAAAATCATTCTTGGACGCAGATGAGAAGGGAGAAAGACGGAAGGAAGGAAGGAAGGAAGGAAGGAAGGAAGGAAGGAAGGAAGGAAGGGGAAGGGGATGGTCTTTGGTGACCCCTCTGAAACCACCTGGCGACCCACTCAGGGGTCCAGACCCCCAGGTTGAGAAAAGCTGACCTAGAGATTCCTACAAGTAACCTCTGAATCAAATTCACAGAATGTAAACCCACATATAAAAAAGATGTTTACCACAGCATCTTCTGAGTCCTAAAAAACATCAAGGAAACAGATACTGACCCATTGAGGCAGCAACTCTATCTTCCTCTTCCTCCTCCTCCTCCTCCTGTTTGATCTCTCCTAAGATGACCCTCTGCCAGGACTCTGACGAAGCTTCTTCTGTGTTTGGGAAACTGTCCCGCTCCTCTTTGAATGGTCCCAGCACCTGAAATGACAAACCAGGTCCCAAAGAGAAGAATGAACTTCCCTGAGTGTGAAGCATTGGGAAAGAGATGTTAGCAGACCTAAAGTCAGAGTCATGTAAACATTTCTCTGGCTGACAGGGTCCCTGAGTAGAAAGGTTAAAGAAGCCCTGACATAGACCATCTGGTGATAGGGTTTTAATGGTGTTGCACAGCAAAATGGAGTTGGGCTGGATGGGCCTTGGGGTCTCTTCCTATGACATGTACTACTGCATATTAGGTTTGAGCGCGGATCTGTTTTTAGCTGTTTCCTTTGGCCAATACGGCTTCTTTGGTTTGTTCGGGTGCCCATAACGGCAAGGGCCCAGGCGTCATGGATTCCTGTCTGTAATAGGACCATGTGGCAGCCAATCTCGACTCCTCCTCTCCTGTTTGGCATCACAGTTGAATCTTTTTTATTTTCCTTTATTTTCTTGATTCTTTTTATTTAGTGAGGCTAACTGGAGTTGGAGACATGAGGGACAGGTGGGTGAGGAGCATGTGTATGTTTGGGGGCTTGGGAGAATCACCCTTTCAGCTTTTTCCCCTCTCTTTCCCTTTCTCTCCTTCAAATGATAGAGATGATAACAATATTTATTTATTTACGACATTATATGCCGCCCTTCTCACCCCAAAGGGGACTCAGAGCGGCTTACAAGATATATATACATACAATATATATTATTAGAATAGTACAATATCAGTTTTATATATTACTATATTGTACTATACCATAATATTGTAACATTATTAGTAATATTACATGTAATATAAAATATATAATTATAATATCTTATTATTGTTTGTATTATATTGTACTAAATTATATTATAAATATTATATGTATGTACAATATATAATATAATATAATATAATATAATATAATATAATATAATATAATATAATTAGCATAGCACAGGAGACAAGATGGAACTGTCCCCTGCCCCCCCCCCTCCCTTCACTAATTATTATTAATCCCAGCAAACACCGCAATAAGTGAAGGAACACTGTATACCTAAATATGATACTAAATAGTGGTGACAGTCAATCTTCTCACCTTCCCGTCTTGCCCCTCATCCTCTTGATGCCTCTGCAGGAAGTCCTCTGCCAGGGCCACGGCCTGGGAGCAGCGTTCTGGCCCCATCCCTCGGACCCGGTCCTGGACCTTGGAGGGCAGGATGGCCAGGAACTGCTCCAGCACCACCAGCTCCAGTATCTGCTCCTTGCTGTGCCTCTCAGGCCTCAGCCAGAGTCGGCACAGCTCCCAGAGGCGGTTGCACACCTCCTGCGGGCCCCGGGCCTCCGTGAAGCCGAACCGCCGGAAGTGCTGGCGCTGCCTCTCCAGGTTGGAAGCAGTTGCCTCTGACTCCAGGGCCTCTTCCTTCACCTCGAAGGATTCACTTTTCTCCGTGGCCTGGGTGCGGTCGGTCAATGGGGCTTCTTTGCAGATGTCCAGCAGAAGACAGGTCATCTTTGTGCCTCTAAACTGATGGTCGGACTCCTAAATAAAAGAAACATATTGTCTTGAGTTTTTTTGAGCAAAGAAAGAAAAACCGGATTCAGGCCAATTCTGCCTTATATTCTAGGATCTGATCCCTGATTATCTGCTTTAAACTGAATTATATAAGTCTCCACTGCCAGGTAATCTTCTAAATAAATAAAAATGTAATGTTCTTTTGTGGGATTAACTCAAAAACCACTGGACGAATTGACACCAAATTTGGACACAATACACTTATCAGGCCAATGAGTGACTATCACTCATAAAAATACTGAAAACAACAGCAGAGGAGACTTAAAAAGCCAAAAAACAAAAAATTACATTACAATGCATGCACAAAACTACACACACACACACACACACACATATATATACACACACACGCGCGCAAACACACATATACACAAATATACACACACAAAACACAAATACACAGAGTGGGCCACAGCAACACGTGGCAGGGGACAGCTAGTATATAAATAAAAATGTAATGTTCGTTTGTGGGATTAACATAACTCAAAAACCACTGGACGAATTGACACCAAATTTAGATACAATACACCTATCAGGCCAACAAGTGACCATCACTCATAAAAACACGGAAAAACACAGGAAGATACTTTAAAAGCTAAAAAACTCATTACAGTGCATGTGCAAAACCACATATATATACACACACACATATATACATGTTGCTACTAAGGGTTTGCAACGCACTTTTTCTAAGTTTTGGAAAGGATCGGGGCTGTTTCTATTACAGCTGACAGTTAATTGATGGGATAATTGAGTGTATTGTTATCTCATGTATATAGTAAGCTACTGTGTGTTTGTACTTTGAGCATTGTGTTTTCCGTGTTTGAGTATTGCAGTCTATGCTTTGCTTGAGGGCTCGTTCTGAGCTGAAAAGCCTTTGTTTGGTGCAGGGAGCAGTTCTACAAGCATCCTGAAGACAAAGTTTGTTGATGGCAAGTCAAGATCACTCTATGGACAACTGAATAAGAGAGACTGTATATTGTTTTTGTTGCAAGTCTGTATATCGCCGTGGAATGAAGAGGACTCACCAAAGATACTGTTTTATGTTATGTTTTTGGTGAGAGCAATTCTTCTGTTTTGTTTTGTATGCTGTGAATACAACTTTATTTCTTTTCTACTTAAAGCGGAAGACTAATGTGTTTTCTTTTATGAGTTACTTTATCACACTTAAGAGTCATTCTGCGGGCTACTCACGCTAACGCTGACAAAACACACATATACATAGACTGGGCCACAAAAACGCGTGGCAGGGAGCAGCTAGTATGGGATAAGAAGATAATCTGGGATCAGGTCCTGGGATAAAGGGGAGTGTGGAAGGGACCTTTGCACGGATCTACACAACCGTATAAAATCCAGATTATCTGCTTTGAACTGGATTATATGGCAATATAGATGCAGGCCCCTTCTACACTGTCATATAATCCAGTTCAAAGCAGATAATCGGGATTTGATATGGCAGTATAGAAGACGGGGTCCTGGGAGCTGTAGTTTTGCAAGGCCTTTCACCTTCTCTGCCAAAGAGGACTGGAGCTTCAGCAAACTACAACTCCCAGGGTTCCATAGCATTGAGCCTTTGCAGTTCAAAGTGGTGTCAAACTGCATCCCTTCCACAGTGTAGATGCACCTTTGCAGTTTCACAACCTGAAGATGGTTTTTACACAGTGCTCTACCTACCAGCTTCCTTCCTAGGCAGAGAGAGAGAGGCGCTCCTTTCCGCTCCTGATCTGGGCGCGTGGGAAAATTCAAAGGCCACTTTCCCATGGGAAGTGGAACAGAAAAAGGACTTTTTGTCCTCTTTTTGTCCTCCGCGGCTCACTGTTGCTGCCAGAAAGCTTCTAGGAATCTGGACTCGCTGACTTTAACTCTTTGGAGGCTTCAAAGCATTGAGGATGCACCTTCTATATACTGTAGAATGAATGCAGCCTGACACCTCTTCAACTGCCCTAGCTCAATGCTATGGACTCATGAAAGCTGTCGTTTTACAAGGCCTTTCTTCTCTCCCCAAAAGTGCTGGTACTTCATAAAACTACAACTCCCATGGAATCATAGAGTTTAAAGAGACCTCGTGGGCCAACCCTCCGCCAAGAAGCAGGAAAATCGCATTCAAAGCACCCCCGACAGATGGCCATCCAGCCTCTGTTTAAAAGCCTCCAAAGAGGAAGCCTCCACCACATTCCGGGGCAGGGAGTTCCATTGCTGAACATCTCTCACAGTCAGGAAGTTCTTCCTAATGTTCAAAGCACCCCCGACAGATGACCATCTAGCCTCTGCTCAAAAGCCTCCAAAGAGGGAGCCTCCACCACACTCTAGGGCAGAGAGTTCCACCACTGAACAGCTCCGACAGTCAGGAAGTTCTTTCTCATGTTCAGGTGGAATCTCCTTCCCAGTTAAAATAGGAGTTGTAGTTCATTCTACAGTGTAGAGCATGTGTTGCGATAATCAGAAGTTATTTCATTATAAATGGCAGTGCCTAATTGGTTCTGTCATAAAAATAATCAATAATGAAATAATGAAATTTTGAAAGTTTTGTTAGAGTTCTGAAATTTTCATCACCAGAACTTTAGCAATACTGTAGAAACAAAGCACCAGTGCCCCCTAGTTTTCACCACCAGAATTTTAATTTTGTAAGCACTCCAGAACCATTTAGAACCATGGATTGCACATGCCTACCAAATATATTTCTCCATGCTTCAAAAGCAGCTACAGCTAAGGATAGCATGTCTCCGCTGAATGAATGCCTGAAGAACCTAATGAGCTGGATGCGGAAAAAACAAATTGAAACTGAATCTAGACAAAACAGAGGTGCTTGCCATCAAGGGTTCTAATTTGGAGATCGAGGTGTGTTAGCCATTCTGGATGGGGTTACACTCCCCTTGAAAGACTGTGTTTGCAGTTTAGGAGTGCTCCTGGATCCATCTCTCCAACAAGCCCAGGAGTGCTTACTATCCGCTTTGGCTCATTTGCCAACTGTGCCCTGTCCTAGACTCAAAGGATCTTAAGATGGTAGCACGTGCACTGGTAACCTCAAGGTTGGACTTCTGCAATGCATTGTGCCTTTGTACCAAGTTCGGAAATTCTGATTGGTTCAAAATATGGCAGCCAGATTGGTTATAAGAATACCACGGAGTGAGCATATTACCTGGATCTTAAAATCTCTCCACTGTATAAAGCGTTAGTATTGACTTTTATAGCCCTACATGGTTTGAGTCCACGTTATCTACAGGAATGCCTACTCCCATACAATCCACCCCACATATGTTAGTCTTTTGTGGGGCTATTACCCCAACCAGCCAAAACCCAGCTGGCACCATAGCCCAGAGGACCTTTTCATCGCCTCTCCCAAGATTGTGGAATGACCTGCCAGAAGAGCTCCAACAGCTAGATCAACGGTGGCCTCTGCAATGGAGCCGGAAACCGGTATATGGAGGCCACGTCAACACCAAAGAAGGAAGAGGGGACAGCAGGAGGACATTCGGGAGGCCTTTGAGATGTTCCTTGGTCAACAACAAGGTTGATCAACTTGTATTTTCTCCTGGCCCTGGTTTTACAGACACTCGAGAAATAACCACTCAAAATCCAGCAAATGTTATTTCTAGTGTGAATTGGGTAGGAGAGAAAATTAGGAGCCCTTAGTAAAACGGAACGAGGAAGGATGCCCTCTAACCGATGGAAAAAGTTCTGGCCATGGCTGGCAGAGACCACACCTGGGATCACCTGAAGGATTGTAGGTTTTATATCAGGCATCCTCTGTTACAGTAAGTTGTAACAGGATCAAGTATGTATGTGTGTTAAAAAAAACCTTATAGTGTTGATTATTGTGTGCAACTGCTAATGTAGGTCAACTAGTAAGTTTGGATCACACCCAGTGGAGTATGACTGTATGGGTTTTAGAATACAGTTTAGCTTTGCTCTGAGAAGCCTTTGCTCAGGCATTTTGCTCAACCATTTCTACTGCTCTCTCATTTTGGTGAAGATGAAGAAGCCTTTTTCTGTATTGCTTACAAGGATTATGTAAGCTTGTTGCACTGTTTTTGTTTTGCAACATTGTAAGTTTACGTTTTAATTCTGCTGATAAGAGTAAAGTTTTTCTGTTCTTTTTCCTCTTGCCTGGGTGCAATGTTATTGTGTCTTCTGTATTGGATCTGACTGAAACATGCTATGCGCAATATCCTCAAGCTGCGGCCCTCCAGCTGTTTGGGCCTTCAACTCCCAGAATTCCTGACAATTGAACAAGCTTGTTAGGGCTTCTGGGAGTTGGAGGCCCAAACAGATGGAGGGCCGCAGTTTGAGGATGCCTGTTTTATATCGATAGATACAAAAGAATTTTTTGAAGCATTTTATATATATTAAGTGATACACACACATACTTGCAATTGTGTTTGTAACTATAACTGTATTTGTAATTAAACCAAAGAAGACGGAAAACTGTGAAGAAATATCGCAACTGGTTTTGTAACTGTAATGATTTAGAAAATGTAAATGCCGCAAGCATTGTAAATATTGCAAAACTAAGTATGTCTCACTTGATTGTAATTGTTAGCAAATGTGTTTGTAGTACGTATTTATTATAATAAATTACTTCTATCCAACAGCCAGATCAGCTGTTGGATAGAAGTAAAATCTATCCCTTCTACCACTCCTACCTGGCCAGTTGAAAGCAGGAGTTTTAAACTCATGTCTTATGTTTTGATCTCTGTCCTGTGTGATTAATATCTATTTTATTATTTTGATGTGTATCTTTTATGGAACTGCATTTTAATGTGTGTCTGTAGAATTTTTATAGTATGTGTGCGTTTTTGATTATGCTGTGACCCGCTTTGAGCCGTGGGGACAGGCAGGCAAGAAGCAAAATTATTATTATTATTATTATTATTATTATTATTTTACTGACACAAAAGTGAAATCGAGGTGGAATTTAAAAAGGTCTGGCCCTGAAGGAGAGACCCTGCAGACCCACCAAAGAGGGCTCACTACAATGGTGAGCAAAGAGAAGCCCAATTTAAAAGGTTTTTCCTAAGTTCCCCAAAGAAATCTCACCAAAGTTGAAGGAAGCGCCACCGAGATGATTTTATTGCGATTCAGGATGCATAGCAGCAATATTTCACCAAGCTAAGCATGCATGAGTACAAATAAAAGCCATTTTTATAGAAAAACAGAGTTGTCTGGTTTGAATCTCCCGCTCCCCGCTCTCTGCCTGGCTTGAAATTGATTGGCTGGCGCTTCAACAGCTAGGAGGAGGCTCGGCCGCCTTTTGAGCGCCTGGGCCAATCACAAGGCTTCTGCTGCGCGCCTGGGCCAATCACAGGGCTTCGATCGCCTCGGCACTTCAACAAATAAGGAGAGAGGGAGGCAGGACAACGGAATACAATGCATTCTTGAGTGGATTATGGAAATTCAGGAAATGTCCATGGGGCCGGCGAGTCCTAAAGGTCTATGAGCTAGCCTTCTATTGTTCTTTGAGTGGTTCTAATAAACATTGATGCTGGCCATATTGCCATAATCCAAATTTTCTTCCATGCCAAGACAGAGGAACAATGGGAGGAAACTTTGAGTTGATGTTTTGGTACAGAGATTGAATGGTTGACAGATCAGGGTGAGGTGCAGCTTTCTGAAGGCTCCCCTCTGTCCCATTGTGATATAATCAAAATTGCCAAGCGGCCGTTTCCTCTGGTGGCCAAAACCTCCGAGGTCACGATCCTTTGTTATTGTCCATGCAAAGAGTGTCTTTTGATAAGGGTTCTTTCAACTGTTAATTTCTTCCTTTCCAGGATCAAGGTGGCTTCCTTATATATATTTTTATACATTTTTTTCCAAAGGGGAATGGGGCAAAAAGGGTCAGGAAAAGGTCAGATACACAGGAAGGAATATAGAAATCATGTTATAGAAAATATACCCACTTATCCCTCCCCCCAGAGTCCCATAGAAGTTCAAGAGAGCACATAAGTGTAAAGGGAGATGGTTTCTCAGTAATAAATGTGCTATCTTTTGCTATATATGAAACCTAGGGCATAAAACCTTGATTAAATGTACACACTATCTAACATGGGAAGGTTCCTTGTTGTTGTTAGTGTCTTGGCAAATTGACCAAGGCTTAACCCTTATTATCCAGCCTGGTGTCCTTGTCCTTAGCAAAACTATAAGTTACTATCTTTTATTGGGGGGGGGGGGGTCATGTTCGACTTCAAAAGCACAGTATGTCACAGCAAACGAGATCTATATGTTGGATTTCGCATCACAAAATCACAAGTCAAATACTTCCCAAGCATCTAGGACTGTGTGATGTATATCATTATTATTATTTTGCCTGCATCAAAGAACTGATCACAACCCTGAAAAAGTTACAGGAAATGAACACGTCAAACTACTCTGGGACTTCCGAATTCAGACTGACAAGAGTTTTGGAGCACAATACTCCTAACCTCACAATTGTGGGGGAAAAAAACTAAGTATGGATCATCAACGTTGCAATCCCAGGTGACTGCCTTGTGCATATTTTAAGGCTCTTCATAATCTAATATTTATTACATAATATAATTTAATATATACTAATATTATTATTAGTATATATTAAACGGCGCTCCATGCAGTCATGCCGGCCACATGACCTTGGAGGTGTCTACGGACAACGCCGGCTCTTCGGCTTAGAAATGGAAATGAGCACCGCACCCCAGAGTCAGACATGACTGGACTTAATGTCAGGGGACTACCTTTACCTTTTTAATATTATTATTATTAAATTTAATATAATAATATTAAATAAAAATAATATAATAATATAATATACAGACTATAATAATAAATAATAATATAATAATATAATTTAGGATTTTTTAACTGAAGATTTATTTT